ACTACTGCAACGTGCTCTACATGGGGCAGCCCTTGAAGAGCATTCGGTGACTTCAGCTTGTCCAGAATGCAGCCGCGCGAGCGATCGTGGGTGCACCTCGGTTCACCCACGTAACACCTATCCTCCCCCTGTCTGTACCCCCTTCCCTGACTGAATTGTGAGCCGCCCTGAGTCTCCTTCAGGGAAAAGGGCGGCATATAAATGTAATAAATCCATAAATCCATCCATCCAAGATCCCTGTCTCTTTCCCCCCACAGCACTTCAGATGCCGCGCTATGTCCGAGTGAATTTATTGAAGACATGTGTGGATGATGTCGTTGATTACTTCAAGCGCCAGGGCTACTCTTACCAGGGCAAAGCAGCCCGGTTAGTTTAGCCTTCTCCAACTTCTGCTCCATATCTCAGGAACAGGCAGGCTCCCTGTCTGCAGACTGTAGTGTTGCAAACTTTTCGGGAATCCCAATTGCTCACTGTTCCTCCTCCTCATGTGCAGCCCTAAGGAAGAGACTGAACGCATCCCTTTTCATTCTGGCATATCTGCAGCTTATCCTAAAAAAACCCCAACTAAGTAGAGTCCAGCCTGGTTACAATGGATGAGACACACAACCAGGAAATGCGAGGACTTTTAGACTAGAGCAGGTGTGTCAAACTCAAGGCCTGTGGGCTGGATCTGGCTCGTGCGATGCTTAAATGTGGTCCTCAGAGGCGGCCTGGAAATCGGCAAAGGACAGGCCTGCGGTGACTCTGGCAGCCAAAATAGAGCGTGGGGGTGGGGGTGCATGTGGCCCCCCGTGCCTTGGTTTTGGCCTGGACAACCTCCTGCAGCACTCTGCTGGCCAAAATGGAATGTGTGTGCCCCCTCTGCCCGATTTTGGCTGGCAAGGTTCTGCAGGAGGTGTCAGTCCCATCTCCCTCACCACCACCCCTCCATTCTGGTCAGAACTACAGTGCTGATCCAGCCCTTAAAGAAATCCAGTTTGACACCCTTGGGCTAGAGGGATTTTGAGAAACAACCCAAAAATAGGCAGTGGCACATCACGGTCAGACCACTGGCAAGGAAACAACATAGATATGCCTGTGTAGTAATTGAGGCAAATTTGGCTTGAAGGAGATTTACTGTCTATGCAGATTGTCAATCATCCAGGTTACAGTTGTCCCAAAGATGCTTTTTTCAAGAGACCACTGACTTCCTTTTTTTTCTTTGAAGATGTTTCGCTTCTCATCCAAGAGCTGAAGAAGGGGAGGAGGAGTGGGATAGAAGAAAGNCAGGACTCAAGCCATGTGGTCCTGTCCACCAATAAACCATCTTTCCAAGCAGCCTCCATGTCTCCAGTGTCTTTTTCCCCACTTGGAGCTGAACTCAGAAGGACATTTCTTATACCAGGCCTATTTACTGATTTGAACTGTAAACCAATACATTAAAGCCATGACAAACAACAAACACCTAACCAAGGTGGCCACTAATCAACCTTAGTATATTGTGAAAATAAGGCATTAGGTATTTAACTAACCTGTTTCAGTGTGTGGTCTGAAGAGCCACTGCATGTCAAAAAATCAGAACAACATTAAAGATAATAGATTATAGGTTCCGCTTCCCCACAGTGCAGTGAAGTAATACCTCTACGGCTATTGAAGGTAACATAATTTGTATTTAAACCTGGCCTATTTTCTGACATAACTTTGTATGCAAGAGGGAGGAACTGGTCAGTTTTCCAGGCAATAAAAATAAATAAATAAAATTAAATATAATAAAAACTAAAAAAAAAGTAGAGGCGTGCATAAGCGCACCTGCATGCCTAAAATCCCTGTCCTACTGTCCCCATTTTTTTGTACCCATTTCCTGTGTTCTTATTCATGTTTATTCTTATTCCTGTTATCTTGTACATGAGTGACAAATTAAATAAATAAATATTTTCTTGTCTGAAGACACCCCTCCTGCTCCATCATCCTGGCTCTGGGGTAAGGCAGAGTAGCAGTGTTTGAACACATCCTCCTATTATAAGTTGTGAATTCAGTCAAGATATTGCAGCCCAACATCCTGATATTTCGATAAAGGAGAATAGTTGTACTTCATGGTTGAAATGAGGGACGCTTGGTTGTTTTCTCACAGACGTTTTATTCCCCAAACTGGATAGCATCATCAGTGATGTTTATGGCTGCATTCCCACTGAGGGGGACCAGATCTGATGGCCTCTAGATAGGAATCAAGGCACACAGAAAAGAGAACACGCCAAGTCTTTAGTGCCATCTATGGGCTTGATTCTTGTAACCAGTGCTGATAGCCTTACATCGGGGGATTTCCAAACTTGGCAACTTTTAAGGCTCGTTGGACTTCAACTCCCAGAATTCCCCAGTTCCAGTTGGCAGAAGTGAGAGAACTCGGCACGGTTCTCCGAATTGATTTGTCTTTCACTCAGCGTTTCTTTAAGGCAGAAAGAAGTCTTCAAACTTGGCAACTTAGACTTGGGGACTTCAACTCCCAGAATTGGAGAATTCTGGGAATTGAAGTCCACAAGTCTTAAAAGATGCCAAGTTTGGGGATCCCTGCTTTAAGCTGACCCTTGTTTTTTTTACGTTCTACGTAAAAACGACGTAAAAACGACGGTAGCATAGCTCTAACGAAAACCTCCCCTGCGTTACGCACGCGCAGTTCATTTCCTCGCTGAACGCGTGCGCGCCGGAGGCTCCCAGAGTCCGGATCCAAACAACCCGAGGAAGATGCGGCAGCGCAAACAGGGAAGTGGCGCGGCGTTTGGTCTTTATGGTGTCGCTGCTTCTATCCTGGCAAAACTGGAGCGTCGGGAAGGTTCCCTTAAGACCCTCGTCTATGGCAGTCACTTCCCGGCAAGTTGACGGTCTTTGCACAACTTAAGAGTTAAAAAAATAATGGGGAGCGGGCGGAATAGATCCTCCACGTGTGAGGATAGACTATCTTTTTATTGCTAGCTACAGACACTGCGGGACGACAGTTAGCTTCGTGTATACGTGTGTGTGTTTTAGGAAGATTCCTTTGAAGGAGTTCAATGAATATTTTGAGTGTCATTTAAAAAGATATGTTCTTCTGCTCAAAACGAGGACAGATGATGCAAAAATGCGTTGGATATACAGTAATATGCCTATCGCAGATTAACAGTGTCCTCGAATCAAACTGGGCACTTGGTAATATTATGCAGTTTCTTGGCCCAGTACAGATGTAGTTTGCATTGAACTCTTCCAGGGTATTTTCAGCTTCTCTGCATCCTCTACAAACTTGTAATTCCTTGGTAGTCTCCCATTCCAGATGTAAACCAGTCCAGCCAAGGTGGCGCAGTGGTTAAATGCAGCACTGCAGGCTACTTGCTAGATCAGCAGTTCAGCGGTTCAAATCTCACCGGCTCAGGGTTGACTCAGCCTTCCATCCTTCCGAGGTGGGTAAAATGAGGACCCAGATT